CTTCCTTTGGAGATTCCCATGCCCTTGAGCTCGTCAATCCATTCCTTCTCCATCGGATCATCAGGATCATTGAGTTCATCAGGGTGAACGCGAACTGCCAACATTTGGAATCTGATCCTCTTGGTTATGCGGAAACACTCATAGTTCTGGTCGAGGTACTTCTCCAAACGCGCCTTCTTGGTCACGATGTCAATGTTGCCATAGTGATAACCGTCTTCCCAAACTGCGTTATCACCTAACAGGTCTTCCCATGACACCCATGCGCCTTCATCGCATTTGATTGGTGTGAGTCTTCCTCCTGTTCTGAACTGGCGTCCAATTCGATGCCTCAACTTCGCTCCCAATCGGCGACTCAGGGCCTGACTCGCTTGGCTGTATTCAGGTACTCGACAGTCTGGGGTCGGATACTTGAGGTTGCCGTAGTCGGAGTTCTGTGCAGCGAAAGTGACTCCGTTGATCGGTACTAGCTCAACTTTCCCGATCATCGTCATGGGGTCGATCGGCTTGTATCCCTTCTCCCTCCTTGTCGGTAGGGGGTAGAATTGATGACATGCCTTTGGTTTGAGGGAGCTGGAGTGCACAAATGCCCTCTCAACACACTCATACACCATCCTCATATCCCTAGGGCCAACTTCCGCAAGCTTCCGCCCATTGTAGGAATGTGTCCCTCCTTCGACTCCATCGGCACTTTCAATCAAGGTGAACCCGTCATGGTCAAACATTGTCACGACTCTTGCTTTCAACATTTCTTTTCGCCTGAACTCGCTGTCAACCTTCCTATCTGGAGTAGGCGATGCTCTCTGCTTCTTCTTCTTAGGCTCCTCTGCTGGATGTCCGGACGGTACATCGTCGGGTGCAACCTCTCCCTTCACTCTCTTTTTCCAATCGCTCAGCACTGAGGTGACCGTGGGTGAAGATGAAGGGATCTTCTCGCAATTGAGAGTTGTGTGTCCCGACTTCATGCAGTGGATACAGAATTCTGCTTGCCCGATCTTCTTCTCGAATTCGTCGATGGCTTGCAGTATTGATGTCTTCGGATCGGACATGTCAACGTCTTGCTCCTCCCTCTCCTGCTCACCCTCAGTTTCCATATCGACACCTTCGGTCTCGGGCTGGTCAGTAGCTTCTGCTCCCTGTTCTGGTTCTTTCCCAATTTCGAAGAAGTGGTCGATATCGAATTCAGGAGGCGGCATGGTCCTCATGCGAACGAGAATCAGTGCCACGTTTGCCGCCTCTTCAGAGTGCGGGTCCAATGTTCTGATCATCGATCGCTTTCGGTTCTCATACGTTGTCCTGTCGTACAGCGATGCAGTGACGCGCTTGATGGATTCTTCTAATCCCGTCCTCAAAGCCTCAATGTCACCCCATCCTACGAACAGGTGTTTGAAAAGTTGAGCAACTTCTAACATGCCCAGCAGCGCTTCCACCATATCACCTACCCGTTCCTCCGAGGGATCATCTCCGAACATATTTCGGAATACCTCGGGCTCCAGTATGGTCTTGAGGTATTTGGTGTAGCACACGTTGCCAAGGTCATAGGATCCCTGGTAGTACTTGGCGCTGCCAACTATCTGCTTTTCCACATGGATGCTGGGCCCTCTCCTCGTCTTGAAGAAATTCTCCGTCATTGTTGATGACAACCTGATCCCCCCGAAGAACGAGATCTCCTTTTGGAAACCTGGGTTCCCGTTAAAGATGACCGTCGCTTCGTGTAAGAACTTCATCAAGTCTACGCGCGGGTTCATCTCAGAGATCATGACGGTGGGAGATGATACCGTCTGCCCCATGCCGAAGTTGTAAAGCATTCGAGCACATGCATGGAGCCGCTTCTGGACATAGTCTTCTGCAGACATCCCACGGCACCTATTCGCTGCTCCGTTGATGCATTCTGCATAGCAATCATCTTTCTGATCGGAGTCTATGGGATTGCAGACCAAGCAGTAGTCGCAGCAAATCTCCTCACCCTCCTTGAAGTCATCGATGACGTACCACCTTTGAGTCCTCGAGTAGATTGGCTCTGGTTGGAGGACTCCCCAGTACTCATCCATCCATGGCATTTTGTTCTCTCTCCTTACCTTCTCCCTCTTCCTTCGCTCAGACTCGTTCTCACCTGAAGCTCCCGCAGTGGACTGATATGTCTGGCTTCCCCTCACGGAGTCTCCGAACAAGTACTGATACAACCTCTCTTTGTCCTGCAACACGTGTTCCAAGTTGGGATCATGGAGGCTATTCGCTTCGGTCAAGGGATCCGGTGCCATGAAGCAAGAAGCGAGCATCTTTTCTCTGAACAAATACTTTTCCATGACAGCGTGGACCAAAGAGGTTCCAGACTTCATAGAGTAGGGGTGACCGCCTCCGGCGACCGAAATGGCTCGCCAGAATCTGTCCGACGTCGTGGACATCATGCCATTCAGCGACATTTCGTCCTTGATCATGTTGGCAATCTTGCCGAACGAACCGACGGCATGGTGAAACTCCACGTCTGCGCAAACCCTCACAAATGTAGGTAGCTGGCAGCATGTGTCAAGCTTGACGATCGCGTCCCTAAGTCTTGGAACGAAGTCCGTGGGAACAATCACTGTCTTGTATGTCCCCTTCTCGCCCGCAGTCACTAGGTGGCTCAATGACAACCACACATGGATGGAGGTGGGTTCATGGCGTTTGACATCATCAATTCGATCATGAATGAAGTCGATGAAGCCATATGGATCCGTCACCACTCCCCTCTTGTACTCAGGCGTACATGACATGTTGATGACCTTATCCCATCCAAGTGACAATAAGCTCTGGGCGAACACTGTCTGTTTCCCGGAGTTCGACTTGGTTATGTACCCAAAGTCCGACATCAGAATCACCTTACTGGTCTTCATGGCGCCGATGAACTCACAGTGCACACTCCCACCATCAATGGTGCGAGACGCTGGCTGGCACGTGACACTTGAGATGAAGCCCTTCAATGTTTCACGCATCCTTAGCTCCAATTCCGCTTCGTCACTCACCTTGGCTTCCATTGGGTAACAAAGGTTGTATAGCGTCCTCGGGGATGGTAGCCCTCCAGCAAGTGACACTTGTGTTGAGTCGTAGATGTTGGTATATTGGGCGAACCAATGGGCGTCTTCTTTGTGGTAGTTCCGGTCGATCACCGTCTCTTGGTACCCCCCATGCCAGAACATCAAATACGACGTCAACCTTCGTAAGTACTGCAGCCATGTCATCTGTCCGTTAACGGTACAGGGACCTTCTACGGTGTGCCCGGATGGCACTTGATTGGCGCTGACCATTGCGTAGACCTTCATGTCTCGCGAGAAATAGTCTTTCCCGAACACGTAGTGCTTATCTGATCCCATCGGAAACGGCATCCTAAACCACGTGGTGACTGAGATGTCCCTTGATGTCGCACCAGCGGATGTTGATCCACCTGTTCTTCCCCGCCGCTTATAGGATGTCGACCCATGCCCAGTTGAACTGTCGGAAGGGCGTTCCGAAAAGTTCTGCTGTTCAAATGACGGTGGCGGTGGAGGAGGTCTTGGTGCGCGAGGCATTGGCTTGGCCGTCGGCCTTGTATAGTCACCATATATCTGAAGCGGCGGGCACCATTTTGGTCTATGAGCAACGTCAGGAGGCTCAGGACCTTCGCTATCCTGCATGTTCCAAAATGGCAACGAGGGGATAATTTTGTCCTCAATTTTCTTCTTCAACTCCTCGATGTAGTCGGTGTAGGATTTGAAGGCGCTGCTCCGCCGGTTGTACTCATCTTGTCTCCCGCTCTCCGCTGCAGCCGCGTTGTACTGAACTCGAAACATTGTGGGTTCAACCGGGATCCACTCATTGATCATCGGCATGACCTTCTCCCTCATGAACCTGAGTTCTTCTGATATTATCATGGCTACCGCAGGCTTGCAGTTGTCAAGGTACTGCACCATAACACTCATGGAGCCTAAGAAGGTCTCCATATGGTTCTGAGCTGCTGACCTGTACTTCGGCAATCCTCTCTTCCTGGCAATCAGGTCCTCGAGCACATCGATCACGTGGATCTTGTCCAATGTGCTGTCCAAGTTGTGGACTCTTATTGCCAGTGCCATGTTGCGGACCTCTCTGTTCACCGTATCTATCAGCTCTTTCACCTTCTCCTTCGCATTTCGACTGGTGAGTTTGTCAGAGGTGTGGTAGAAGATCGAGCTGAAAATCGTGTAGTAGCTTTCGAGGCGGGTAGCATAGACGTGATCTGACGGATCCGCGGCTTCACGCATGTTCATACTCTCACTGGCCGACCCGGATAGGTTCCTCCATTGCTGGTAGGCAACCATGGTGTCACTGAGTCTGCCGTTGTTGATGAAGGCGCGGACGTCGTCCCATAAGTCATCAATCACCCCAATCTCCTCAGGCTCCACGAGGTAGCGAGAGAGGTTGCTGAAAACCCCGTTCGCATCGTTCCCGAAGCGCCCCTTGATGGTGGCCATGGATAGCTTATACC